AAAGATCTACTTTCTTCTTAAACCTCCTTCTACCTCTTTCTTAAAGTTCAGTGCAAGATTGGGCGGGGCTAATCATCAGCATAGAAAATAGCAGAGCCAAGACTTGTCAGTTACGGCTACTCTCCAGAGGAGTAGAATGTCAGAGGTGCCCCTGAGACCAGAAACACAAATGTAGGGGAACCAACCAAGGCTACAGGCTTCAGACTTGACAGCTGGCCCGATGGTGGTGGCTCATGACTGTAATCCCAGCACTTTGAGAGGCCGAGATGGGTGAATCACTTGAGGTCAGGAGTTTGAGACCAGCGACCAGCCTGGCCAACATGGTGAAACCCCACCTCTACTAAAAATAAAAAAATTTAGTTGGCGTGGTGGTGGGTGTCTGTAATCCCAGTTACTAGGGAGGACTGAGGCAGGAGAATTGCCTGAACCCATGAGGTGGAGGCTGCAGTGAGCTGAAAACATACCACTGTACTCCATCCTGGGCAACAGGGCGAGACTGTCACAAACAAACAAACAAACAAACAAACAGCCAAAACCAAAAACCAATGAAATTGACAGGTGGAAACTTCCTCCTGGCTGAGGAAAGAGGCTGCTGTGCTGCAGGCAGGTCATGGGAGTGATGCCAGTGCTGCCCTATGAATGCCTAGTGAGACTAGTGGGTACAACAGAGTAGTGGTGTGAACCAGTGGCCTAAAACAGATTGGGACGGGAGGCCTCGAGTCTTGCCTACTTTACAAGTTTGATTCCTTATTTAATGTTAGGCAAGCAATCAGGGTGAACCCATTTATCTATAAGAATGGAGAGCTGCTGACAATAACCATAACCCCCAAACCTCCCCTGTGAATCTGGAGAAAATCATAGGAACAGTAGGGAGAGGAGTACATCTGGCAGTTAGTTGACAGCTCACATCTTCTTAAGACTAGAAAAAACAATGGCCAAGACAGGGGTTTGAGACTTTTGGGGTTGTTGGGATGGGGTAAATATATTTTGCAGGTGAGTTGGATGTGACTCTTTGGGGGTCAGAGAGCAAGCTGTGGTAGGCTGAAAAATGGCCACCCAAAGATACCAAGTCTTGATCCCTGGAATTTGTAAATGTGACCTGACTAGGAAAAAGGGTCTTTGTAAATATAATTAAGGATCTTGAGACAAGGAGATTATCATAGGAAATTCAGGTGGGTCCTAAATACAATCACATGTACCCTTATGAGAGAGAGGCAAAGGCAGTTTTGAGAACGCAGAGAGGTGGCGGCAGTGGGGAGATGACATGAAGGCAGAGGCTGCACCACTCCAGCTACACCGCTCCAAGGAATGCCTGGAGTCACCAGAGGCTGACAGAGCCAAGAAACAGATTCTTCCTACAGGCCCTCTGGAGGGACCAAAGCCCTGTTGGATTTTGGACTTCTTGCTTCTAATACTGAGAGAATAAATTTGTTATTTTAAGACGTCCAGTTTGTGGTATGCGTTATAGGAGCCTCAGGAAACTAATGCGAGTTTCTCCCATCTCTAGCTATACAGCAAAATGCTAGACTGAAAATAATGGCTAACAGTAGCTACCATTTATTGGGTGCTTCCTATATTTTGGTTGTTTTTTATATGTTCTTCTCACTGAATCTTCATGATAGCTCCATATGCAAAACAGACACTATTATTGGCCCCGTTTTATACTTGAAGAAACTTTGGGACTGAACAAATAATATTTGTTGAAAATCACAAGGCTATCGAGCGGTAGAGATGGAATGAGAATCCAGACAGTATGACACCAGAGTCCACATCACAGCACTTTGCTCTGCGGAGAGAAGCAGTGCATACCCTGAGGAGTTCGGGAACTGGGAAAGACAGGCAAACAGCCACTGTGATACTTGCTACACCAGGAGGGACAAAGAGTAGAAGTGAGGAGTGATGGATGGATTGCGGAAGGCCTTTTAGTAGATCCCAGGAGACTAGATCTTGAAAGATGGCTAAACATTAACATAAAGAAGTAGAGGGAAGAAGATTCTAGGCTGAGGGCATACTGTAAGTAAAGGCTCAGATCTCAGAGAAAAAAACAGAATTTTTGGGAATGTGGTGTACCCCAACATGGCAGACATGTTCAGCTTTAGGGGTGGAGAGGTAAGGCCTGGTGAGAGCTAAGGGGCTGTTCTTTCACTATCTGCTCATGCCTGGTATCTACCCCTCAGTTCTGATCTCTCACAGTTGAAGGCCCTGATCCTCATGGGCTGAGCAGAGATGGGAGGTTTAGAGGAACATAAGAGCACTAGAAATATGCATACACAGATGGAAGCTGAAGGCATCAGAGAGGAAGGTTGCTTAGGAGGCTGATCCCCTAAGTGTCTCAATGATAACAGGTCTGGGCCCTGTCTTTGGCTTCTAGAATACAATGTCAGCAGGAGGTGGGGAGGGATAAAACCAAGCAGTGATAATACAACACAGACCACAGGCACCGGGATCAGAGCAACTATAACCTTTCTAAGGGGAAGTCCAGCTGTGTATGCACACACCAACACACGCTCATCACTGACCTGTGTCTGTAGGTAGTATATCTCACATACGTGCATGTACACCAACACATGCTTTCTAAAATCAAAATTTTTAAAAATTTTTAATTTTTTTAAAATTTGAAATTTTGATTTCAAAAATAAAAACTCTGTGGCTGAGGACAGATGATGATTTTTGTTCTTTAAGGCTGGTTGTAGGTGAGAGGCTCTTAGCTGGTAAGAAACTGGCCGACAGAAGTGTCCACATATGGAAAAGGTTCTAATGCTCACAGCTCCCTGTTGGGCACACTTACAAATTTTGTTTAATAAAAAATGTTCCCTGCGCCACTAATAATGGGAGGAAAAATGGCCAGCTGCTAGTCCTGCTCTTGAGTGATGTGAAAATCTAAAAAAGTGATGATTTTCAAGCCAGAAAACAGAAATTTGGTAAATTTATTTGAGGAATGTTTGAGTCTACATAATGTGAATAAAGCACTTTAAACCTTACGAGAAATAAAACCAACTGAACAAGAGGATTAAAATTTAGAGAAATTTGTAAAGGAGGTTAATTTGTGATATGAAAGTCTGCATGTGAAACTTGTGGCTTTCATGGAATGTTATTTGGGGGAATGGCCTTTTTGACAAAATCTAGGGATCCTGAAGGCCTTACACAGCAGCCTCTGAAAGTGTCAAGGACATCCTCAGTCTACATGTACCTATGTGCCAGCACATCTCAACTGTTCTTGCCTGGCTTGTGGCAACTAATTCATTAAAACCAAACTGCAATGTCTCCTCCTCTCTAAATCTTCCCTGGCTTTTCTCTGAAGTCTGACACTCAGTTTTCCAGCATTTCCACAGTGTTTAGACAATATGTCTATCCTAATAGTAAAAAAACATGTGATCTAATGATTTACCCACGTGTTACCTGCATTAGACCATGAGCTCCATGAGCATATAGACTGAGAAGGCCCAAGCAAGGGGCACAGTAAGTGCCTCAGGTAAGCAAAGCAGGATCAGAGAATGATTGGCTAAACGTATACACATGCTTGCACACACATAACCTGGGGTGTCTGAGCCAGATAGTGAACAGGTGACAGTCTGCAAGGGGACAATATAACTTTACCCCAAAACTCGAAACACAAAAAATAAGAAGAAAGCCACAACGAAGCTCCATGGCAGGAAGAGGCGAGGCACACAAACCAACACATTTATTCAGCAAAGCTTCTCTGAGTGTCTGTCATGGGCCAAGACCTTGTTTGGTGATGGGGGTGACCCCTAAGTTGCTAGCAGGCTAGGAGTAAAGATGGAAATTATGTCCCTTGTAGATGGGAATTTGTCACGTGCAGTCAATGTCACTGAAGTGATTAACGAGCTGAATCTGGGCAAATTTATTCATTCTCAAGCGACTACTGAATATTCACTGTGTGTCAGGCATGGTTCCATTAAACACAGGCAAGAACAAGATGGATGAGGTTTTTGGCTGTCATGGAGCTTACATTTTAGTGGGGCAGCTTACATTCTGTGATAAGGTGTTTTGGAGAAAACAGGTAGGGAAGAAGCTGCGTTGGAGGAGGGTCAGGGAGATAGACATGTAAGCTGAGGGCTCAAGGATGAAAGGGAGGCAGCCTTTCAAAAAGCATGACGAGTTCCAGGGAGTGGGAGGACCCTCAGGAGGCAGAGGAAGGTATATCCAAGAAGCGAAAGGCCAGCCCTGAAGACACTGGCAGGATAGGGTCTGGGAGATAAGAGCCTGATCATGCAGGGCCCATGGGCCTTGGTATAGGGAGTCTGCCTTTATCTGAAGCTCAACAGGAAATCTTGAAAGAGTATTAAGGGGAAGAGTGTCCATGATCTGATTTTTGTTTTATTTTATTTATTTATTCTTGAGACAGAGTTTTGCTCCTGTTGCCCAGGCTGGAGTGCAATGACATGATCTTGGCTCATGGCAAACTCCACCTCTTGGGTTCAAGCAATTCTCCTGCCTCAGCCTCTAGAGTAGCTGGGATTACAGGCATGCACCACCACACCTAGCTAATTTTTTGTATCTTTAGTAGAGACAGGGTTTCTCCATGTTAGTCAGACTGGTCTCAAACTCCCGACCTCAGATGATCCACCTGCCTCGGCCTCCCAAAGTGCTGGGATTATAGGTGCCAGCCACTGTGCCTGGCTGTGATTTATATTTTATAAGAAAACCATTCTGGCTGTTGTAAGGACAATGGATTATTTTGCTTTTCTGAGCCTCTGTTTCCTTATATATAAACAGACCTAATAATACCTACCTCACAGACTTGCTATTAGGATTGAATGAGATTTAGGAAGTGCTCAGCACCTTACAGTTTTTACGGCCGAAATATGTTTCTTGGCCTTAATAGACAGCTAGAATCATGTCATATATACCCGGGTCCTCACCCAGCATGTGTGGGCATTTTGGCACACTTTCTGAATGTGCTAACAGGCCACTGCCCAGTGGAGCCCCACACGCTATCTGGCCCCAGCAGCTTTGGCCCTGACTTTAGGATAACTTACCCCAAGGAACTGCGCCTTTGTTTGGGGGCCCATGAGGTAGAGGGCTGGGAGGATCGGATAGGGTTCTCTTGTGTCCGGGTGGTGGGGGAGGAGGCCTCTTCTTGGATAGGGTGGAGCTGCCACTAGAGGTCTGGGTGCTTAGAGGGAGTGTTGAAGGTGGGCCAGTTGGACCTAGAAAGGAAATTGAATGGGGGCAGGAAAGTTAATCCCAGTCTCACAGATACAAAATAGTTAGTATGCAATCACTTCCACACATCAAAATGTGGTATGATACACAGCAACAAAAGCAACAGGCTGGATATGGCTAAGTCCATCAATCTAGTAACAAACAGGGTTTTAAAAATTTGTTGGTTAAAATGGCCAGGGGCAGTGGCTCACGCCTGCAATCTCAGCACTGTGGAAAGCTGAGGTGAGAGGACTGCTTGAGGCCAAGAGCTTGAGATCAGCCTGGGTAACATAGCAAGACCCCGTCTCTACCAAAAATTAAAAAAAATTAGCTGGGTGTGGTGGCGTGCGCTTGTAGTCTTAGCTACTTGGGAGGCTGAGGTAGGAGGATCGCTTGAGGTCAGGAGTTCGAGGATACACTGAGCTATGATTGTGCCACTGCACTCCAGCCTAGGCAACAGAGAGAAAAACAAATTTACAACAAAGGTAAGAAGAGTGTGCTTTAAGGAACAAAATGCCAGTCAATACAGAATGCTACTGGGTTTAGATCATTTAGGTACAATGAGAAAAATAAAACACACACACATCTTAAAACAATTAACTCCTTAGAATCATCACAAAATCTACTAAGGGAGAAATCACACACGACTACCAGCAAAATCAACAGAGAAAGAACAGGGTACACGCTAAGCCTTCACTGGGCCACAAGGTGAAAATGAAACAATTCATATAACAGAATTTCTCTCTCTACAATTTTTTCTTTTAGTCAGCAAACTGCCTGAAATTTTCCTTTTTTTTTTCTTTTTGAGACAGAGTCTACCTCTGTCTCCTGGCTGGAGTGCAGTGGCGCGATCTTGGCTCACTGCAATCTCTGCCTACTGGGTTCTAGCAATTCCCCTGCTTCAGCCTCCTGAACAGCTGGGACTACAGGTGCGTGCCACCACACCCAGCTAATTTTTGTATTTTTAGTAGAGACAGGGTTTCACCATGTTGGCCAGAATGGTCTCCATCTCCTGACCTCTTGATCTGCCCACCTTGGACTCCCAAAGTGCTGGGATTACAGGCATGAGCCACTGCGCTCAGCCTGAAGTTTTTCTTAAAACAAAACAAAACAAAATGGCTTTTCTAAATAATGAAGAAAGAACCAGATGTAAAGCATTACCTTTGGGGGGGGGGGGGAGAAATCCAAAAGCCCTTTTCTTCCGGGTCTGAATTGTTCTAGAAATTAAACCATCTATTTATATTGGAAGCCTGAACAACAGTTATATAAATTAGACAATGATTTTTAGACTTAAAAAAAAAGACTCAACTTTCTTCAGAACTAAAGGCAAGATAGTAGGAATAACAGTAATGTTCTCTATACACACAAAAATGGGGTTTGTTTTTAAAGGCTGTTAAGGGAGTACTGTATATTTGCTTTTAGTTTTGTTCACTCAAAGTGACACTGAAGTGGCTGGTGTGTGCCAGGTATTCCATGCTGGGTACTTTCACCAGCATGGAATTAAGGTATATGGCTTAACTGTGTTCATGGCAGACTGCTTCTATAAATGTTAAGAAAAAAAAGCTAGGACCGGGCACAGTGGCTCACACCTGTAACCCCAGCGCTCTGGGAGGCCAAGGTAGGCAGATCACTCGGGGTCAGGAATTCAAGACCGGACTGGCCAACATGGTGAAACCCCATCTCTACTAAAAATACAAAAATTAGATAGGCATACTGGTGCACTCCTGTAGTCTCAGCTACTAGGGAGGCTGAGGCAGAAGAATTGCTTGAACGCGGGAAGTGAAGTTTCCAGTGAGCCGAGATCCCGCCACTGCATTCCTGCCAGGGCATCGCAGTGAGACTCTATCTCAGAAAAAAAAACAAAAACAAAACAAACAAAAAAAAAACAGCTGCTAAGAACACTGCCTTACTGAATGTTTAACACAGATTAGTAGATACCTAGTGATCCAGGAAGGCCCCAAAAGAGCTTTTTACATTGTTTGTATTTAAAAAAAAAAGTTTAATTGCTGCCGGCCTCCGTCCGTGGTAAACTAAGTTTTCATATTTCCCACTGTCAATTACTAGTCCCTACCAATACTGACTTAAACCATTATTTCTCTAAGATAGGCTAGTCCTGAAAGTAAATACTGTTACTCTCAGCAAATTATCATCTGCTTTAGGTTTAAATGGCCAGGCTATACAATTTATTTCTTTGTCCCAGTAATGTGATACATAATGGAAGTCTGATGCTTACCCCAAATCAACACTTAATTAGGGAATCAGTCACTGCACTTTCAGAAACTATTTTTATAATAGAGATTATTATGGCCCTGCATCTTTATAATGCTTTATAGTTTTCAAAATGTGTTTGTATATGCTATTCCTCAACTTTTTTTCCTAGATTTATCATTAAAAAAATTTTTTTTTTGAGACAAGGCCTTGCTTTGTTGCCTTGCCTGGAGTCCAGTGGCATGATCACAGCTCACTGCAGCCTTGATCTCCTGGGCTTAAGCAATCCCACCTCGGCCTCCTGAGTAGCTGGGACTACAGGCGTAGTACTAGGCATAGACATCTGGCTTTTTTTTTTTTTAAGGTGGAATCTCACTTTGTTACTCAGGCTGGAGTGCAGTGGTGCAACCCTGGCTCACTGTAACCTCGCCACCCCCCCAACCCTTCCAGTGATTCTCCTGCCTTAGCCTCCCAAATGGCTAGGATTACAGGTGCCTGCCACCACACCTGGCTAATTTTTGTATTTTTGGCAGAAACAGGGTTTCACCATCTTGGCCAGGCTGGTCTTGAACTCCTGACCTCATGATCCACCTGCCTTGGCCTCCCAATGTGCTGGGATTACCGACATAAGCCACCACACCCGGCTGACATCTGGCTAATTTTAAAAACTTTTTTTATTTTTAAATTTTTTGTAGAGACAGAGCCTCAGTCTGTTGTCCAGGCTGGCACTGAACTCCTGAGCTCTAGCAACCCTCTCAAAGTGCTAGAATTACAGGCATGAGCCACCATGCCTGGTCCAAAAAATTTTTTTAAATGTTTATGGATACTAATAGTTGTACTCCTTGATTTTCACACCAACCCTGTGAAGTATGTGGGTCATGTAGTATTGTCCCCATTTTGCAGCCAAATCTCAGAGGCTTGGCAAGATTAAAGTCACAAGCCATGAGGGGCAGAGCTGGGATAAGGCAGGTGTCCAGGACTGGTGAGGCACTTGCCCCATCAAATGATGCTGCTAGTTCCTGAAAGCCAGGGCAGCATTTCCTGTGCTCAGCACATGAAGAAAACAACAAATGCTCAGTATCAGGAAGTGTAACTTTCCTTTTGGAAATAAATGGATAATAGATAACAGATAATGGTGAGGTTCTCTAGCAATTTTATCTTTATCGCCATCTAGGGACTTTCTGATGCAGATGCAGTTCCCTGCCTGGAAACAAAAAATGTCAGACAAAATGCTAATGGAGCCATGTCTCTGAGCAACGCTGTACCTCATATGTATGAAATTCTGGGAGAGATCAGACCAAAGAGGCATCGTGTAACCATAAATGATGCAAAATCCAATCCCCTGAATAATTTCAAAAATTAAAGAACTAGTGTATCCCATGCCGTTATATACTTCTGACTTCCTTCATATTGCTGATTATAATCTCTAATTATTTAAATCTTTGTTTATTGTTACCTGACTCTCCCACCAGACAGGGAGAGTCCTAGTCTATTAGAGCTGTGCTTTTCTTTGGTTTGGTGTACAGTAAATACTTATTGAATAAATGGATAACTAAGCCACTTCTATCTTTTTAGGTCAGTAATTTTTTTTTTTTTTTTTTTTTTTTTTTGAGAGATGGAGTTTCGCTCTGTCACCCAGGCTGGAGTGCAGTGGCGGTGATCTTGGCTCACCGCAACCTCCCCCCACCCCGGGTTCAAGTGATTCTCCTGTCTCAGCCTCCCAAGTAGCTGGGACTACAGGTGTGTACCACCACATCTGGCTAACTTTTGTATTTTTAATAGGGACAAAGTTTTACCATGTTGGCCAGGCTGGTCTCGAATTCCTAACCTCAGGTGATCTGCCTGATTTGGTCTCCCAAAGTGCTGCGATTATAGGCATGAACCACCATGCCTGGCCTAAGGCCAGTGATTCTTTTTCATTCCGAGGTGAAGTTTCACTGCCACCCAGGTTTGAGTGCAGTGGTGCAATCTCAGTTCACTGCAACCTCTGCCTCCCAGGTTCAAGCGATTCTTCTGCCTCAGCCTCCCGAGTAGCTGGGACTACAGGCACATAGCACACCGCCACACCTGGCTAATTGTATTTTTAGTAGAGATGGGGGTCTCACCATGGTGGTCAGGCTGGTCTTGAGCTTCTGACCTCAGGTGATCCATACCCACCTCGGCCTCCCAAATTGCTGGGATTACAGGCATGAGCCGCAGCGCCCAGCCAGGCCAGTGATTCTTAAAGAGGCCAATATGTTTCACTTAGGGTGACTGATCACAAATGCATGGAGAGAATTAGCAGGAAGGAACAGTATTAAGTGTGAAAGGGATGTTCAATTTTATAATCTTATATTTGGAAAACAAACACACAGACAGACCTATGTATTGTTTTCTAACAGAAGTTACAGAAAGAAAGGTGCTATAAAATCTTGGCTGGTGAGGCATGAGTTAAAATAAGGTTGAAAAACACTACATACAAAACTCCAGAAACACAGACTTAAAAAATGTTTGAAGATTTAAAGAGCTCAGAAGACTTCCAAAATTAGTAACCAGTCCCATAGCATTAAAAGAGATCTTTTATGCAAAGCAAATCTGAGTACTGGTTCAGTCAGGAAAAAAGCAATTCTGGTAAGATAAAGAAAGCAGAAACAAAATAAAACACAACACAAAAAAGGGTGGGGATAAGATTAGTGAGTGGTGGCAGAGATGCAGGGGTGACTATGAGGGAATTTTCTCTCCTGAACTCTGCCAGGGGCCTGTGGAAGTAATAAAGTGCCCCAAACCTCACTTGCCACTAATATTGGCTACCATGTGA